ACTGTTGTGTGTGTGTGGTGTGTGTAGAGCTGTGTGGTGTGTTTACCGTGTGTGGTGTGTGGTGTTTACGTGGTGTCGTGTGTGGTGGTGTGTTACTGTGGTGTGTGGTGTGCTGGTTAAAACGGGTGTGTGGTGTTGTGGTGGTGTGTGTTACTGTGTGTGGTGTGTGGTGTGTGTGCGGTTACTTGGTTGTGGTGTGTGTTACTGTGTGTGGTGGTGTAGGGGGGCGGTGTGTGTGTGGTTACGGGTGTGTGTTAGCGGTGTGTGTGTTTACTTGTGTGTGTGTGTGTGTGTTTCTGTGTGTGTGTGTGTTACTGTGTGTGTGTGTGTGTGTGTGTGTGTGAGATGCAGTGAGGACATTTCATTAGCGTAAGCAGCTTTTGATTTCTGTTGCTCAGCATTCAGAGGAGCAGACAGTCGCTGCCCCTCTTCGGACCGACGTTACGGCCGCTGCCGCTCGGCGCCGGCGCCCCACAGCACCGGGCTCATACCGACACACGGACCTGGACCTGGACGGGTCGGACTGGACCGGGTAGAGGAGGAGATGTGGTGAAATTATCAGGTGTTAAATGTGGATAAACATCTGTAAAGAAATCAGCAGGAACAGAAACGTCTCACCGCGTTACGTCCTCGTTCTGAAGTGAAGACGGACGGACGTTTTACCGCGCAGACTGAATCCTACCGGACCTTTAGGACTCTGAACACGTACACGCCCACCTGGTCCGTACGAACAGAGCCGCCCGCTCACAGGGGGAATCCGACGGGACGTTCAATCAAAGCCTCATCGCTCCGTATAAACACTGGAAACCTAAAAACTCAGCTGACGTAAGAAAACTGGATCTGAAACAACATAATGTGCATTTAGTTTCCTTTAGTCGTCACACAGGTCTGCTGTGATTTATTTTACATTATGTAACCGACTTTTAACGCATCTGATTAGAAACATAATCAATGTTTCCTGTAAAGACTCGCTGTCTAACACATTTCACTTTAAATAAAACGCCTCAGACGCCTCGTCCACCAAGAAAAACAACCGCTGCACCTCAACATGAATCCTGTCCTGTTAACACAGCAAGAAAATCATTCAACAGAGACACAAACACAAACAATTCAAAGGAAATAAGACGTTTCCTTTCTGTTATTCTTATACTTTCTGTCAGATAAATGCTTTTTACATCAGCGGCTGTAACATCACTAACCAATAAAACATTATATATATATATAATATCACTCTGACTGCCACCAACATTTACCAACGGAACAATAACAGCTGTAATGTGGAGTTAAACACTAACAACTGTTCATCTTCTATTAAAAACAGACAAAAGGAGAGATATAATCCACATTTAGGGTTTAATAAGTGACAATTAATCCCAATATTACTGAAATAGAGTTACGATGTGTGATTAAACATCGTTATAATGAAGTACTGTAGTGCTCCAGATGTGAGAGAGGCCCCCCAACATCTGGATTTCAACAGATTCACCTGTAAAAATCAGATTTGTGGTATAAAAACACGAAATAAAAGAGTCAAAATAACCTGAATGGGCTGCTTTTAGCTCCCGCTCGTCCACAGCCTCCCCAGAAACCTTTATGTCACGTTATAGATCCACTCCGGGGTCCGGGTCTCACCGTGAAACCGGACCGACCGTGTAGACCAGGTCTGAACCAAACCTGCTGTTATTCAGTCACCGGATCGATCAGCCGATCAGAAGCGGGTTTAACACCCAGCTGCGGTCCTCCCAGTCACACCGACACTCTGCAACCAGCCCATAAAGCCCGCTGAAGCAGTGAAAGCAGACTGTGGCGGTGTGTTAGTGTTTATAATCTGGAATCGGAGTCAGACTCAGCTACGCAGCACTGCTAACCGCGTTAGCCCCGTTAGCTCCGTTAGCTCGGTTGCCTAGCTCCGCGTTAAAACCCGCAGCCTGTTTCGCGTTTAAACCGGGTTAAACCCTTTTTAAGCACAGGTGCGGTCGGCCTGACGCACAACCGAGGTGAGCCCGGTGTCGGTGGAGCTCCCCGCGGCGCACAGCACCGAGGAGCTGCCCGTGTTGTCGGTGTAAAATGGCAGCCTTAGCTTTTCAATAATGAGTCAGGGAAACCGTTTAGCATTAGCTCCGCGCTAGCTCCGCTCGGGCTCGTTTAACGGGGGTTAAAAACAACCCGCGGGCTTTTTATTCACTCCAAACGCGTCTTCTTACCATTGTTAGGGTCGCTGCCGCCGTGTCCTCGCCGTGTGTGTGTGTTGGGGTCGTTTCCGCCGTCTGTAGCTGTGTCTGTAGCTGTGTGTGTGTGTGTGTGTGTCTGTAGCTAACTGCTTCTTCGCACAAAGATCAGCAGCCACACAATCGTGTCGCGTTCAGGCGCCGTCGGAAATATCAGCTCTGCAACAAAAACAGTAAATAAGTTGTGGAGCGAGTGGGGTTTGTTTTGTTTTTTTGTTTTTTTTTTCTGTATAGTTTAGGGTGAATGAAATCCATTGCACACGTTTTAGCTTTCTTTTATATACAGAAAAATAAAATAATATAGTCCATATGTGTATTATGTATTTATATATTTTCTACCTCCATTTGCACTGTTTACTGTAGCTACTGTGTTTTAAAGTTAACTTTTATTTTTTTTATATTTTTATTTTTCTATTTTATTTTTATTTTTTATTTTATTTTCATTTTTTATTTACTTTTTATTTGTTTTATTTATTATAATTTATTATTTATTTTGTTATTGTTTATTTATTTATTGTTTATTTTATTTTTATTTATTTTATTTTTTTTAGGGTTAGGGTTTTTAATTTTTAGTTTTAATGCTATGTTTTTGTATTTTGTATTTTGTATGCCTACTGGAACTTGATTTTTCCCCTCAGGATAAATAAAGTATCTAGTCTACGCAGAATCAGAATCAGAAAGATACTTTAATAACCCAGGGGGAAAATTATTTTCCATTTAGCAAAACTCCAGATATACAAACAACGATAATTAAAGGACCAAATATATAAGAATATTATATAAACTATATATAAGGCGTTTCTAAGCAGCAGTTATCCTGACTAGCGCGAACCGTGTTCTACACGATGTATCTGACCTGCGAACCAGTTTTTCTACAGCAGTATCTGACTGCGGACCCGTTTCTCACAGGTACTGACCTGGCCGACCCAGTTCCTTCTCCCTGCACAGCAGTATCTGACCTGCGAGCCCAGTTCTTAACAGTATTCTGACCTTTACGACAGTTTTCTACAGCAGTATCTGACCTGGCCGCGGACCAGTTTTTCTACAGCTTATCTGACCTGCGGACCGTTTCTCACAGCTATCTGACCTCGCGCACCAGTTTCTCACCAGCCAGCTATCTGACCTGCAACCAGTTCTACAGTATCTGACCTCCTTGCCCCGGCACCAGTTTCTCTACACCCGCCTTCCTAAAGTTCCAAAGGGATTGTGAGCAGTTTCAGAAACGCAGCTGGTCTTATTGTGTCTGTCAGCAGGTGGTTGTTACGGTTAAGTGGGTTGCCTGTTTGCATATTCTACGATGGTGTCACGCTCCTTTGGACGGCCACGAATACAGTTACAGATCGGAGATTGAACTATTTTGCGCGATTAATCAATTTTGATGTGTGGAATATTTTGACTGATTTATTAAGTTTTTCCTGCTCAATCATATTAATTATAAACTGATATGTTTTGGTCTTTTGGTTGGAGTGAATTTTTAGAGGCGGAGAAATATAAACTGCATACCTTTGAGTTTTCTGACAATTATAAAAGGCATTTTTTATATTTTTGACATTTTTATCAAACTCTTTAAGAATAATGTGTTAC